GGTGTTTTGTTTGCTTAGATTGCAGGTGAGAAATGGTATATACAGGAAGAGAATAGTGTGAAAAACAAAGCATGCAAGATATGGTGATTTTTGATGAAAGCGAAGGGAACCTGGAGAGGAGTCTGCAAGTACTGAAAGTTGGGGAACTGGAAGAGACCCTAGTAAGAACATTTTTATGGGAGCAATGGAGTGGGGAGTTTTAAACTTGAACAGATTGAAAGAGTGTGAGAATGAGTTGGCATATTTGGTGGTAAAAAGTACTTTTTACAGGTAAAAGTACAAGTACTTTTACAGGTGAGCGAGCTGATGGGAACTTGCTTTAAAGTTAGGGAAGCCTATTCTGTCTTTTTTAAAGAGAAGTTGGGGAGGGATGGGCTGAGAACAGGAGGAGCAAGAATACAAGCAAAGACTCAGACAGGACAGAAGTTTCTCAGACAGGTGAAAGGTGCCAGAGAAGCTGGGAAAAGGACTGTTGTCAGTGGAGGGAAGAGAACGAGAAAGGAAAATGACAACTTTTGTTTTTTTTTGTGCAGGAGAGGTTGTGTTGATTTTGATTCTGCATTTTCTCTGGCAGTGGTTGCTATTGGTTGCTCACTGCTCATTCTCCTTTTTTGTCCTCTCTTACTGGGTGGCTAACATCTACTGATCTTCTGATGCTCTTTTTCTAGCTCAGGGAGCAGATTCTGTTTCTATGAGAGTAGTGATAAGAATAATAGTCTGAAGTCTGTTTGCAGTGACTGTCATTACTGGCATCCGTCCTTGGAATTCTCAGCAGAGGGTTCCCAGCCTCACAGGAAAGGTGAGCAAATGACGCCCTTGAACGTAGCAGTGTGACCTTCAGGTCAGCATGGAGGTTTGCTGATGAATTTGAGTTAGAAAGGTGGAAAATCTTTGCCCTGCTCTACAGGTAAATGTGGAGCTTCCTATTTTATGGGCTATCAAGATGGAGCCTTTTATAACAGAAAAAGTTTTTCTGTTTTTAAATTTTAATTGAAGGTCTAGTCTATTCTGCTCGCATGTTCAGAGTACTTTTTGATGCACTTAGGAAGCACGTTTTTATAAATACAACTCTTAATGCTCCTGTTTGCTCTCCTCCTATGTACTTAATACTATCTGTTGCAAAAATCCTGCAAGAGGTTCCCCCTGCCAACCATATGCCTCTGTAAGTGTGACCAAAGAGATCCTTTATGCTAGTTAAGCAGTGAATTTTAAAGGAAATGGCTGGAGGCAAGACACTATCTATAAGGGATCCTCAATTCTGGAAGCAGATTCTTCACTTTCCAGGACAGATTTAGTGATTTAGTACTTGTCTCATTTGTTCTGGCAGGCTTTTGGGGTAGATAAGGGTAATGATGGATGGTGAGGTCTAAGGAGAATCTTTGTTGGCTTTGGTCAGCAATTATTTATAGATTACAGATCAAATTCTTTTTTTACTAATGGAATTGTTAGACATGACTGGGATTTTCATTCTAGAGAAGCAAACTATTGGGTACAGGAGTAAGGGGGGGTAGGGAAAATTTTCCTGGATTATGTATTTTGTATAAATTTTGTGACTGCTGGGGGTAAAGAAAAAAAAAACTTTTCTTTGGTTTTGAAGTTTTTGCAATTATAAATAAATAATTGAAGTGCAGATTTCAAATACCTCTGCACTAACCCATTTTCCCAGATATTTCTCTTTCATCTACTCCACTGGCAACAGGGCAGGTTGACAGTCTCCATGACTGTGTTGTTGTCAGTACATCCCAGCTGGTGGCTCAGCATCACATCACAGACCGAAGACACATGAGTCTTCATTGTTGGGTTTTTAGAAGCATTGGTGTGGTGCATTTATCCTATTGAACTGATGGGCTTAAAGATCTTATTGGCTAAGCAGTAGACATTAATGGGCATTAATATCCTAACAAGGCTTTTGGCAAGGTAAATTAAGATAAATGTTGTAGGCTTTTATAGATAAAGAAATACATCAGGTTTCTGTTGCATTAGTGCATTTGTGTCTCAAGGTGAATAAAAGGCTAAACCAGTGTTTCAACCAGTAAGCAGGACAAAAAGGCTTCTATTTTGGAGGTCTTAAAAGAACAGGTACTGGACTCTTTCTCCACCCCAGTTCAATCTTCTTCAATCTATCTACCTTAACTGAATATATACAAAGCTAGCATATAAAGTTCTAAAGGGGGAATGGAATTGCATGTTTTTGTTGTTCAGTTTTTTTTTTTTTTTTTTCAGCAAGTCATTTGATTGCTGCTTTTTTCTTTTTGTATTAATTATCTTGTGTCCGCTGGCAGTGTAATTTAGTGTAACTTGTTCATAAAAGCAACCTCCTATCAGATGTGTGTCCATGATGCGGAACAGTGGAGTTTTAACACTTGCTTAGGGTGTTTTAGCGCCAATGTAAGATAATAAAGAAGTAGTAGCAGTATTCATATTTTCTGTAGTAACTATAGAGAGCTGGCAGGGAAAGTGTGTTGTTTTCTGGTGAGTTTTAAAAATCAGTTTGAAAAGTAAATCAGCTTGGTTTGAATGAAGCACTTCAATCCAAAGTCAACCTGATCATTTTGTTGTTGTATTATAACAAGTGAATAAGCAAGGCTTTGAAATAAATCCAACTATAAATAAAACATTTTGCAAAACCTCAATACGTGGTATGTTGGCAAAATGAAAGCTTTTATTTAGAACACTTCCAAACTAGGAGGTTTGAATCATTAGCATTTTTGGTCTCCTGTGGCTTTTTACCCAGCAAAGCAATCATTAATGCAGTTCGCAGAAAGTCCTATTTAATGTTTTTGAGGCTTTGGATCTTTAAGTAGAATTTTCCACTGGTGTCAAAGCTGGCTCATAGGCAGTCTGTTGAATCAAAGAACATAAGGCCTCTAATTACTCGAAGACTGATGTTGTTACTTAAATATAAATCAACACCATTAATTTAATATGGAGTTGTGAACTAGGAAAGGGAAAGCCACGAGCTGCATCATCTGAGGGACTTGCTGAGGCATGTGCTGTAGCTTCTGACTGCTTTTGTGAACTCTATGTCTACATTTCTGCAGAACCCCTGTATCTATTTCAGCAGTTTGGGCCACTTCCTACTTTCTGTGCAAAACAGCTCCTGCTATTTTGATAGCTTCACTTTTTTTTTCACTTCCTTTGATGATTTGCACAAAATGCATTGCCTCATTATGTTCACTGTACTCACTCTAAGTGCACATTTATTTTTGTACTTATGAATATATGTGAAAATGACAAGTGCTTTTCCAAATCAGTGCCCATATGTACATGATTCTTCTGTGCCTGCAGAGCTTATGGGGAAAGGAAGGAAAACAGCTGAAGTTTATTGGCTGTGAATCTCTTGGAAACTGAATTTGTGAAAAAATAGCCTGGGTTCACCCTGCTGAGCACTTACAATTGTCAACTTCATGATTTTTAGTGATATGTTGCCATCTTCTCCAGCAAAGTCCCCAGGACATTTGCACTGGGCAGAGAAACCGAGACCTTATATGCTGGGAAAAACACAAGCATTCTTCAAAGCTGAATGAAACTGAAAAATGATTACAGGATCACTTGTAGTCAGTGTGTCACATTGTTTTGTACTGAAAAGCAAATTTTCTTGTGGAAAACGTAAAGGGAGAAGCAGTCAATGAGTGCACTGAGAGAGTGCCCATTGATTTTAAAAGGCTGGGAACAGGAGGAAGATTTGGAAGAAAAGCATATGACCTAAACAGGAGAAAAGTACGGGAGTTAATATTGTTGACATTTAGGAAGTCAAGTCTGATTTGAGTTTATATATTCAACCTATTGCTTTGAACTATCATCAAACTCTGGAACATCACACTGTTCCCCATCTGGAGATTTTATTTTCAAATCTGAAAGCTGTAAACAGCATTGAAAACAGGGAGTAAATTAAAACTGATGAGTAGGAAAAAAACACGGCCAACAATCCACCCCTTTGATTTGTGACATACTTTTCTAGCAAGATTCGGTGGCACACTGCAAGACAATTTAACTATATGTACAGAGCACGTTAATAACGCTGTCTTTATCATTGCTATTATGGGAACAGCATGCTACTAATCGCTTCCAAATTAATATTGCTTTTATTCTTTGCTGCATAAAAATAGTGTGCAGAAGCTGCTTTGTTACTTTTGGTTCTTTCTCAGTCTTACCATTGAAGTATAGCCTAGCACCAGAAATAGGAGTAATTTTGCAGCCAAAGTGAGTATCCAAACCAATTACGTTTTGACGTCCATACCTACAGTGACTGATATCTGGAGTTTCCTCTATACATTAATGCTGCTGCAGATACACTGTTCCAACAAGTATTTTTATCAAGTTGCATCTTTTTTCCTTCAAGAGCATGTATTTGTATAAACCACATTCTCACGTGTTCTTTCCAGGTATGGTGTGTGTATGTATATCTGTGTATTTATGTATTCACACACTCACATTTGTATTTAAGAAAATATGTAAAATATATGCAGTTACCAATTGCCTACTTCATAGCTCTAAGATAAACTTCTAATAAGCTCTGGTGTCTTTTCAGAACTTATTGTGTTCCTTTCAGGTCCTTCCCAAACAGCAGTGCCTATTAGCTCCAAGGAACGTGGTTTACATAGCAGTGTGTTTCTGTACTGGTGCCTGCAGTGACTACACGAATACAGTGACGGATGCCACTGCAGTGCTGAGGCAGATGTTCTCCTGTTTTGGACCTCCAGTTATTTTTTCTGTTCTTCTTTAAACCACAGAAATAGCAGCATAGGCACTTCAAAAGGACTCAAGAAAGATCCAAGCCACTGTAATCACTGTTGTAACTCCCCTAACAGCAGTTCACAGAAAGCTCATGCTGCTCCTGTTGTTTGAATACTTCAAGGAGTTGTTTAAAAGTGGAAAGCAAAAAACTTTCCAAAATGCATTGTTTTTCAAGGAACACATTATTTTCTGGAGTCGGGTATGGAACTATTTTAAAGAACTCAATAGAAATTGACTTATCTTCTTCTTTATCCTGTTCACAGATATCGATGAGTGTGCTGAGGGGCAGCACTACTGTCGGGAGAACACCATGTGTGTAAATACACCAGGATCCTTCATGTGCATCTGCAAAACAGGATATATCCGCATTGATGACTATTCATGTACAGGTGAGAGGGATATGCTTGCAAAATGAAATAGCAGGATGATAGTGTTTAGGAGCACTGATATGTCTCTTCTAAAGTTAATCTTTGTTATGTTTACAAAACATCTGCATGAAACATTAAATAAAATAAAATAATGACAAGGATATGGTGGGGTAAAGCTATTACTTTCTTACAGATTTTGTGTGTTGCATTGTTTGTCTGGAATTGTAAAGAAGTCAGGTTTGTCTCACATCTGCATGGGCTTGGGTGCTGATAGAAAGGTGAAGGGAGAAGGAAGAAAAACAAGAGACCAAAAGTAGCTCTCGGGGGTACTCAGTTTCCATGTGGCATACCAGCACAACTCCACTTGAAGACAAATGGTGCTTCTTCAGACTTCTGATGGAGATAAATGTAGATGTTAGATTAGATGCTTATTAGATGTTGGCATTCCCTTGTTTTTTAAATTTGATGAGACCTGGGCAGTTCTTCAGCCAAATGCCTTGGGTTTGAAGGGCAGGAGCTCAGTGAGCTTCGTGCTGCTGGATATGATTTTCTGTCTCATCTCTGCAGCTTGCATTTGGGATCTGCTGACACCAGAAGCTCCAGCAGAAGTGCTGCGTTCATGCTGACTTTGACTTGTTCTAGTTTTCTTTTATTGCAGGTTATTTTAGGGTTATCGAATCAAAACTGAACATTTAAAATTGTCTTCCACACCAGAGCCAATCTGTTTGTGAGTGACCAAGTTATAGGCTGCTTTTAATAGGTCTTTCCAGCAGCAGCCAGTGTGTTTCTCATAACTCTCTCATGTTTTCCTCATTCCTAGCTGACTGAAACTATTGCTTTTCTACCTGCTGAGTGTGAACCTTGAGATTATTTTAGGACTGCCTTTATCTAAATCACCATGATACTTTTTCTACTTTGGTTCTCCTAATTTGCCATTCTAATTGAACTCTACAAGTGGTGAACCATTGTAAACTATTTCACAGGAGCATTAGGTGCCTATAAATATAGAAAATGTATTTCTCAATGTTCTAAACACTATATTCCTCTTATTTGCTGAAATATGTTGTTAAGAAGTTCAGTGCAGTTCAAAAACTCTAGACAATCCAATGTGTGGAAAACCAGTTAGAAATCCATTGCATATCTTCCATTCCAAATGGAGGTAGGCTTTTTATTTTTGGATAATAGTTTCTATTGGAATCAGCCTGATGGCTGACATGATGAATGATTTCTCCTCCATACTTTCTATGATCAAGCAGAATAAGCTAATGCAAAACGAAGTGAGGTAGTAGAGAAAATAGACTTGTAAGGTTTCAAATCTTGAGTCTCCCTAGGCTAGATTAACCTTAAGTCTGAGAAATGCCTCCTGCTGTGACGTGAAAACCAGAGTTTCCCTGGAGTTAAGTTATAGCGGGTTCTGGATACTGAGAGGCAACCATGAGGAATGCTATGTCCATTGATTTGTTGAATTTCCAGTAGTGGCAGGCTAACATAGTTAAGTCTGTATGCCACAAAATAAATTGATTTTTACTGATTCCACCTCCAGTGGAGGTGTTCATCTGTTAATGACATACATAGACTTGTGAGAATATTCCATGACATTTTCATCAAACAACAATAAGTGAAAGGTCAGTTATGTTTCAAAAATTAAGTGGAACACGGGAGATTTTTCAAGTCATTTGCTTTGATCAGTAAATGGCATTCTGTGCTTGTTTTAGTCTGCATAAATAGTGTTGAGAACATTTACAGTAAAATGCTGGGGCAAGTGGCAAGTGTCCATATTTGTGTGTGAGGCTGCCATGATTTTTTCACCCATCAGCATATCTTTGCTGATTTTTGCCTCCTATTAAAGCTCCAGATGTATGAGACTTTTGTGTGCACCCATTTGCCCAGATATAAATCTGAGGTAAAGTGATGACAAATAGTGAGCGTGTGTTGCTGTGGCTTTGACATAGAGTCTGTAAAAGTTTTAACGTACTAGATTGCTTAAAGTTGTCTTTGCTGAAGAAATGTATTGTGTTATGAGGACCACCAAAGCTCCATTTAACAAAAACAATCAGTACAGGACATTGCATGTTAATAAATCCATGCAAAATGGTAATGGGAAGGAGTTTTTGTTGATAATGGTAGTACTTTTCTGTCCTATGAACAGTTTAATAGCTTCAGTTTGGATATAACCGACTTTTCATAAGCAGTGTTTATTCTCGCAGCAAATAGTTTACTAGGAAATCTCATTATGCTTCATTCTTTTCCTCCTTGTTTGTCTTTATTTTTAACTGGAGCCTCACTGGCATCCTGTTAACTTGAGACTAGAGAAAGAAAAGCATTTTCCAAACAGGTTCTGTCTAGAGAATCAAGGCAATAAAGTACATTAAGGATCTCAACCTGCAGCATCACTCAGATTTGCTCCGTGTAAGTCTATCAATTTCACACTGCATTTTATGACTGCAGAAAGCAGCAACTTAGCCACTTCTGGATTTCAGATCCAGATTGTCTGTGTCCAGCAGATCTCCCTGTGCACTGTGAGTTCATGTCGCATGGAGATCATTCTGGTTAAGCTTCACATTTTTTGCCATGCTAGTGGTAGTTCCTGAAGTTAAGGGCATAAACCAAACCTTTTTATCTGGCAGAATAGCTGAACAGTAAGGAGAAAAAATAATCACAATAGACCAGAATGACAGATTTGCAAATTAAGGAGATATTTTTCAAAAATTTTGGAAGAGTGCCCTATTTAACTTAGTGTACCTACAAAATTAAGACTATGCACTGTCCCAACAATATTTTTCTGGGTTTTTTATTCTATCCGTCAGGTTTATTATAGAAGGTGCACTGGATAGTTGATGTTGGTACAAAACTCTGATGTTTACATCTGGCAAAAATGAAAAGTGGAAAAGACGTCTGTAAAAGGAATGGAATTTTAAAACCTATTCAAACACTGATATACAAAATATCTTTATGTTTGTACCATCAGATAGCCTTTGTTTTATGTAATTCATGCACAAGGTGTTGTAGGACATAACATCTGCATTGCTCCTTTCTGTTTTCCTTGAAATACCTGAAAGCATCAGCTTTGATATCATCAGCTATCAGCTGCTATGGAAGGGTGTATAAGGATGCCTGATGTCAGCTACCCATGAGAACTATGCTGTAGAAACCTCACACAGATGTCTCTTATATGCAAAGTCAGTCCTGCAAGTCCTAGGGATCCCCTGATACTACGAGCATACTACGAGCATTTACAAAGAGCCCAGACTCAAAGATTTGAGTTGATGTGGTTGCATAAATATATAGTTCTGTTCAAATGTATCAGTGCTTGTGTACAGAAACTCCAAAGCATTTTGACATTTTCCAGTGTTTGCAACTAAACTCTCTTCCACAGAATTTAAAGTTTTTTGGCAAGTCCCTGTTTTCCATACTGACAATTCCAGGTTTAACTTGCTGGCTGAAGAAGACAGATTTTTAATCCTGTTCAGGAACAACAAGAATAGAGCAAACAGCTGCCTCTGTGTGCTACTAAATGTTTGATTTTTAAGATGTTTTTAGCTTAGAATTAATGTGTCGTTGTGCTCACAGGATTGCTGAAGCACAGGAAGATATTGAAAAGATACAGCTGAACCTTGATGAGGCAGGTTGTGATGTGAGTGATGTTTTCACAGCTTGCTGGCAGACTAACATGGTGCCTTATTGTTCCATTCTGATGCACGCATGCTTACATATGTAATTTGTCAGTCTTTGATCGAAATGGAAGAGAGATGTAAAATCAGTGGTATTTAAGGTTTTCTCTCCTACATGAGACGTTTGAAAAGAAATCTGTGCTATCCGTCTCTGTCAGAGCCCTGTGCACAAAGGACTGATTTAGGCAGCATATTGCTGTTTCCAAAGCATCTCCAGTCTCTTTCTTCATGGCATCTTTATTGCAAGTTTTACAATAGATCTGAGTTACATATGATTTTCACAACAAAGGATGTAATGAAGACATCAATTTCAGATTTTGTTATTTGTATTCATCTTGGAAGCAAGTTTTGCAGGGTTAGATTGAGTTAGTCACAACCATATTTACACAGAAGTCTCTTGTTCATGGCTGATTTTATGTTCAGAAATCAATCATAGCTATGAGAAGGGGGAGATGAGTCCTAAGCTGCACTAATATGCCAAATGGGTGCACAAACTGCAAATTAAAGGCATAAAAAATATGCCGTGGGCTACCACGCTTTCCTTGATTTCATATTGTCTCATTCCCCATCCACTTTGCTTCACAGGACCTGAAGTGTTATGGCATTGCACTGGGGAAGGCAGGCAGAAAGCGGCACAGTGCTCTGCTGGGATAGTTTATGTGCATAGCAGCATGTGGCACCATCACTGGTGTATATGATTAAACTTAAATGCCTTAGGATTTTTCTGGGACAGTAATACTGGCATCTTTACTCTGTCTGGGATTATGAAAATGCACAAGCTGTTTTCTTGGCTGGGGAAAAAAAAAAAAAGAGTTTTGCTTCTGGACATAAGGGTGCAGAAATTGCCACGTCCAGTGTTTCAGTGTAATCCACAGTGAGTAGCAGTGCTCGGAACATAATCTTTCCTGCACCATTTCTTTTTCTTTAACTGTAAAAGGGAGAAGTTAGGAAATGAGAGATGAGGGCTCTCTCTTTTTCACACTTTGTTTCTCACAGTAAGGAGTTCTTTCAGTCTGCAGGGGATGGTTAATCATATTTACTTCCAACACAAATCGTTGCATTCCTAAATAAACCAAACTGTCTTGGGACCACTCACCTAAGTAACCCATCAAAATGGAGCAGAAGAAAGAAAATCCTGTGGGAATTAGTGCAGCATCCTCCTTAGATCACAGTAAGGCAGAGAAAGATGTATGCCATTGCCCAGAGGAGTAATGGGTTTCCAAGCCCAGAACAATTTGTAAGGTTCCAATTCCGTGCAGTCTCATGGGGCACCTATTCTCTTCTTTTTTCTACTTCCCAACCAGTGTGGAAAGTGATTGTGGTGAAAGTTGGATCAGGATAAGTTTAGGT